GCGCTGTTTGTAGCTGGAGCCCCCAGCACACAGCTGTGCCGTGTGTGCAGCACGAGCGGGCTTCCAGCGCCTCCTGAGGGAAGAGGGCAGGGACTGCACGGGACACACGGCCTGCCTGGTTGTAGACGTCACTCCGGCAGTGATTTCTCAGAGCGGCGCGGAGCCAGCGCGGGCCTGGAACCAGACTGCTCCGTGCTGGACTGCAACAGATTAACGAATCACAATGAAAGTTAACTCTGAAAAGCCACCCGGGTGTCCGGGCGTCCACGAGCACTGGCCACGGAGGGTTTACCAGCCGGCCAGTGGGGCTGCAGCAGAGCGACAACACGAGGCAGTTTGCTGACCGTCCCACAGCGACGCCTCTAAGAGCCACATCTCTTTTTTCAGGGGTCTTAATTTTGTTTTGCGAGGAAGAAATATCATTGTTTTCAACCTTGTGAACAGTAAAAAGTATGAACTTATTCTTCATTAGAGTGAGGATATTATAGGTAAGCAATAAACGTTTCCAAAAATTAAGACCAGCTACTTAGTGTTCATGACAATCTTTTCCATCAGTTGAAAGCAGAAAGGCCTTGAAAGCTTAATATAATGCAGCAAAGCACATGCACCACTTCACAGGGGCAGGGCGGCGCAGACACGAGTCAAGGCTCTGGCTCTCGCCTTGTCTGCGGTACAGACACAGTCAGCCTGAGGGGCCAGCGGAGCCCAGCCCCTGCCTCATGGAAAAGGAGGCAGCTGCCACAGAAGCGTCTGAGTGTCCTCTTGCTCTGTGAGTCAGTACATCTCAACTCTGCACACCGTTGTGTGGACACAGTCCCCGACTGCGGGAAAATGACCTGCTGCTGTACTCTGATCCGCTGCTACCAACCGGCCTCAGCTGAACAGAGGGCAGAACCACAGCAGGAAGCAGCCCAGGAGCTGGGAGGCTACCCTTGGCGCTGCAGCCGGCAGGCCCAGGCGCCTGCACCGTCTGGTGAGGATTTCCTCTCTACCGGCCTTGGAATGCTCATGGAATTTGCTTCAGAACTGTAACAATGAAGCAGGCAAAGGTTTGTCTTCTGCCGTATTGTCTTTTTCTTTCTAAAATTGCTTACTTGTTCAAATACAAGTCCTGCAGAGCCGGGTTCTCAACCTCCTCCCAACCCAGGTGCCATTCCCACCATGACCGGGAGCCATTTACATGGGTCCGTATTTGCAAAAAGGTACCCAGAATTCACACTGCAACACAGATCAAATCGATTTCATTGCACACACTTCCCCAGGCCCCACATGTCAAGTAATGCCCCCAACGGTCATCACAGCATCTACTGAACGCTGACCACGTCCAGCACCTAAGGGCACTGCATGTGTTAAACTGACTTAATCCCCACAGCAAACCCTGAGGAGATACTATGAGGATCCTCACCTTACATACGAGGAAGCAGAGGTACAGAGAGTTTAAGTAACTTCCTCAAGGTCACACAGCTAGTAAATGCAGAACTGGGACTCAAATCCAGACATCAGGTCTCACGGCCTGTGCTCTGACACTGTTTTCAGAATGCACGTGAGAAAAAATTGTTGTAGAGATTAATTTGCTCTAACATTTTTTTTTTTTTATTTTGAGGAAGATTAGCCCTGAGCCAAGGTCTGCCGCCAATCCTCCTCTTTTTGCTGAGGAAGACTGGCCCTGAGCTAACATCCATGCCCATCTTCCTCTACTTTATATGTGGGACGTCTGCCACAGCATGGCTTGCTGAGTGGTGCCATGTCCACGTCCGGGATCTGAACTAGTGAACCCCGGGCCGCCAAAGTGGAACGTGTGCACTTAACCGCTGTGCCACTGGTCCAGCCCTGCTCTAACATATTTTTTTTAAGATTGGCACCTGAGCTAACATCCGTTGCCAGTCTTCTTTTTATTTTCTTCTTTTTCTCCCCAAATCCCCCCAGTACACAGTTGTATATTTTTAGTTGTGGGTCCTTCTAGTTGTGGCATGTGGGACGCCGACTCAAGTGGCCTGATGAGTGGTGCCATGTCCGCGCCCAGGATCAGAAGTGGCGAAAGCCTGACGTAAAAGCCGCATACCACTCTGGTGAGGAAGGCACACTGCTCTGAAAACTAATTAAAGTTAATCAGACGTTTCAAGGGCTCAGATGTAAAATCATGCGTAATATAAAAGGTTCCTTTCAAGGTGAATTTACTTTTCGGAACTTGAACTAATTTAGCCTCTTATACGTCCGTCTCTCTCTCTCAAAGAAGATACCGATAGCAGAGAGATGGTTTATGAGTTACAATTTATGTAGCTTTATGAATGACACTCGAAAATTCCAAAGGTCTATCCGAATGCAATGGACAGAAGGATAAATCAGATACAATTAAAAAGAAACAAAATCCAGCTTCGCTCACACTGTTACGACGGTCTGCAAGCCCGTCTGCTGAGACCCAGTCCCCTAATGTGACCGTACCCGGAGGTGGGGCCTCTTGGGAGGTGAAAGGACATGAGGGTGGAGCTCTGGCAAAGGGGCCGAGTGCCCTGTCAGAGACCCCAGGGAGATCCCGCGCCCCTCCGCCATGGAGTTACATGAGAGACAGCTGCCTGTGAGGACGCGGGCCTTGATCTTGTTCTAACAACCCAGCCTCCAGAACTGGGAGTGGCAAATGTCTGTCGTTCATAAGGTACCTGTCTGCGGTATTTTGTTACAGCGGCCTGAACGGACTAAGATAACCGTGTTATGCTTCGAAAGGAACTCACGATAGGTAGGTTGATTCTGTAAAGTCTCATTTAGTTCATCTTTAAAATGCAAGTGTGATTCCATTTCAAAATATTTTAACAGCTTCCTTGCTATTGACCCTTCAAAGACAAGGTCAGGCAACGCCATCTACAGGGAACCTTTGGGACAACAGTCATAGTTCCATGACCCAAGTCTTCAATGAAAACGCTATCAACAGTCTGAGTTAATATTGTATTTGGCATCATTTAACAAGGACACTTTCAAGGAAAAGGGTAAGAAAAATTAAAAAGGTATGCTGTGTAAAAACCCCACTAACAGTCATTCTGGATTATTAATACTTCTGAAAATAACTAAGAATAACCTAACTCCACTCCCAGGCTCACCAAACGTGACCCGTGGACCCGCGGTTATGACCCGCAGTAGAGGAGACTCCTGTCATGGGGACACGCCTGCGACAGTGCTCTTCCAGCGACTGAATTCCCCTCTCCTTGTTGCATCACCTCTGCCTTCTGGGCAGATTCTCTAAATTTCCAGTATTTCAATAGTTTCTAGAGCCCAGCCCTGTTTATTTTAAAGCCTCCTATTTCGTAGGTTCCACGTGGCTTCACAGCTCTCCCTCCCCTGCAGTGGCGGCCCACTCTCATCGCGGACGGTGCACCTTTCTATTTCTCCTCCCTCTGCTCTCTCCCCTTGGAAGTCGATGTTAGGTTTCCTTATTGCAATGGTTCTCAGTTTAGGCTAAACACAAAGACTGTCTGGAGCTCTTTAACAAAAATACCGTGCTGCTGATTTCACTGGGCTGGGCTGGGGCCTAACAGGGCTTCTGTTTGCATCTGCCTTTCCAGGTGATCCCAGGTGCAGCCCCGGCTGAGAAACACTGACTTACGGCGGGGGCTCCCTAACTGGCTGTAACTGCCTTCCGCTAAGTGGCCTATGGGTTTCACTGTGCACAGTGGCAACCTCCCCTCGCCTGGAGGACAGAAGGCTCGTCCCTCAGCACTGGCAGCCCCTTGAGATTTGAGTTGGCTGTGTTCTGGCTGATCCCCCAGCTGGTGGCATCACACCTCGCTCATCTGTTGCACCTGCCTTTTAACATGCTGCCGGAGTCCTCCAGCCCCCAACTGGCCTATCACCTCTCCGGCTGGCAGGATGCACCTGCAGAGCCTCTGCTGACAGTCCCCAGGTTACCTCTCAGATCCCATTCTCATGCTCTGCAATAAAGCAACAAACGCACTCATCTGCTGGGTACACGCCCCCACCCAGGTGGAAAGAAGCTGGTCTTCCCTTCTTGGAGGCATCCTGAATCTTGAATTATTCCCCTGGCCTCCCTCCTGGGGTCTCTGAGTGCAGATGCAGTTCCCTCCCTCATGAGAGCCCAAAGGACCAAGCCCCACTCCCCAAGATGCTCTCCTCAAGGGAGTCCTTTGCCAGGCCTGCCCAGGCTTGGGGGCGCGGCCAGTGACAGGGCGTGCTGCAAGAACTGGCACCCTCAGCGAGGGCTGCAGTGCTCCCTGTCCTAAAATGGCTCTGTGATCTTGGGACCTGGGGACTGGGCACCTGTTAACTTCTGTTTTGGCTTTATTGCAGAATAGGAAAAAAAAATCCCATTTGACCTTCTCTCATAAATCACTTAACTCTTTAAATTAGTAACTTAGGTCAGTTCCCAGACACAGACAGCAATGAACAAATGCAGGTGACTTAGGAAGGAGGTGATAAGCCGAGTCAGGGAGTGGGGAGTGGACAGGGAAGGGGAGGAAGCACACACAAGCACAGGTGTGATTCTGGTGACGGCACAGAGGCTGACCCCCAGGAGGCTCTGGCGCACCAGTCCGAGGCACAGGAGCCGTATGACATTCGTACAGGGATGTCAAAGGGAGGAGGGTGAAAAGGGGCCTGTGGAATCTGGGTGGACAACTGCAGCTGATCGATGTCAAGCTCACTTTTACAAGTTCCATAAAGTCATGGAACAAGCTAGAAAGTGGTCATTTGTCCTAAGACTTCACTAATAAAAGCTGGTGCTACCTGTAACTAACAAAGGATCATAGATCGAGGCTACACTAACTGCTTAGTAAACTGCTTAATGGAATGCTAAAGGCGTACGAACAAAGCACTTTGAAAAGGAACAGCAAAACAAACTTTAAAGACTGAAGTAAGCCTGAAGGAAAGAACTTTCTCTTGACTTTGATCCTAAATTTCTCTAATTAGGGCTGCTTTTGCTCTTTCTGGAAAGCAGTCACCTGCTTTACATGTTCATTTTCTTCAAAGCTATTTCTGAAACATTCACAAAGTCACAGGATCTCAAAAACGATGTTTATTTTAACACATAAAACGTGCCACCACCATGCACCCGCGCCTGTGAGCACAAGAATTCCGGCCAGGTTCCACTCCTCTTCAGAACCAGCGAGACTCAAGTCCCTGACAGACCAGCCTGTGCGCAGATTATCACACCTAAAACAGACTACACAGAATCCAAATCATTTGGTGAATGTGTACAGAACCACATTTCAGTTATTTAAAAACCTTTCTCTGTTTCACGTAAACCAGTTAACACCAGAGATTTCAGCCCCACTTTCCTGGAAGATATACACGAGGGAAAGTGCATGAGCCACACAAGTGCACGAGCCTGAAACGGGGCTTTTGTTCTCACTCCTTTCTCAAATAAAAATCTTGTAAACCTACCTCGGCCCCCTCCCGATCTCCTGATTTCACTTTCAGTCTTCCCAACGCACCCAGTATCAATGACTCTCTAACTCACAGAGACATGCATGGTGGAGGAAAAGAAAACTGTGGCCAACGTAAGTACACAAAACAATATTTTCAGTATTTCTTAAGTAAAAGAACCCTTAAATATTAAAGCTATCTTAAAAGCAATGAAGTGGAAGATACATATGACAAAACCACCGCATAATTACGTTACAATGAAAACCCCCTTTTAAATGTATCTATCTTGAAGACAAACTAAAATGTACTGGTTTGAGTTTAAACATTGTTACGCAGTAATAGACAACCCTTTAGAGATCGATCAATTTATCTCTAGTTTGCTGAGGAAGCGGCAGGTCAACCCCGCTTCTCCGCTGGCCTCTGGCAGACTTCAGGCTCACCTCAACACCGATTTTATTTGAGGAGGGACTGACATACAGTGCTGCTTTCAGACAGAACTTGATGCCGAGCTAAAAGTAAATGAAGCCGGATTTCAGGCCCGCAGGCATCTTCCTATCACAGCCAGCCCGTGGTGGTCGTCGTCTATATAGCGGGTCTTGAAGGACATGCTGGAAAAAATCTGTGAACGCAATCTTCCCATGCTGTTTTCACATGCTCCATTCACATCTTTAGCTTACCCAGGTTGTTAGAGGCTTGGGTGAGATGATTAAAGTTTTCACGATGGAAATTTCTGCAGGAAGAAAAAAATTGATTTCTTATCATAAGTTAAGTATTTACCAGGTACTTAATACTAGGTAATAGACCGAGTAATGGCTAAATGCAATCCCAATGAACAATCATGCATAACGCTTAGAGATGGTTTTTTCCACTGATACCTAATGCACAAGCAACCAAAGAAAACACAAAGACACCAGACATCGTCAAAATTAAAACCCCTGTGCTTCAGAGGGCTTACTATCAAAAAAATGAGGGGCCGGCCTCCGGGCCGAGTGGGTAGGTTCGCGTACTCTGCTTCGGCGGCCCAGGGTTTGGATCCTGGGTGCGGACATGGCACTGCTTGTCAGGCCATGCTGAGGTGGTGTCCCACATGCCACAACTAGAAGGACCCGCAACTATAATTTACAACTATGTACTGGGGGCATTTGGGGAGATAAAAGCAGGGGGGGAAAAAAAAAAAAGATGACAACCCCCAGGATGAGAGGAAGTATTTGGAAGTCATGTGTCTGCTGAGGGTCCAGTATCCACAATACATAAAGAACTCTCACAACTCAACAGTAAAAAGACAACTCAATTTAAAAATGGGCACAGTATGTCTGCAAAGATGTACAAAAGGCCAATAAGCACATGAAAAGATACTCAACATCATTAGTCACTAGGGAAATGAAAATATACCACAATGAGATATCATTTCATACCTACTAAGATGGCTATACTCAAAAAAAGATGGACAATGACAAGTGCTGGTGAGGATATGAAGAAACCGGAACCCTCAGACATCGCTCATAGGAATGTAAAATGGTACAGCAGCTTTGGAACAGTTCGACAATTGCTCAAAAAGTTAAACAGAGTTCCCACATGACCCAGCACTTCTACTCTAGGTATATACCCAGGAGATTTGAAAACATTATGTCACACAAAAATGTGTACAGAAATATGCATAGCAACATTATTTATTACAGCCAAGAAATGGAAACAACCAAAATGTCCACTGACTGGCGAACGGATTGATAAGGTGTGGTGTATCCATACAAAGGAATATCATTTGACTATAAGGAGGAGTGAAGTGCTCCTGCACGATACAACATGGATGAAGCCTGAAAACACTGTGCTGAGGGAAAGGCGCCAGACACAAGAAGCCACGGAGTGTGTGGTTCCATTTATATGAAATGTTCAGAACAGTCAAATCCATAGACACAAAGTAGATCGGTGGTTGCCAGGGACTGGCAACGGGAAGAAAGCAGGAATAGGAAGTAACTGCTAATGAGTATGGGGTTTCTTTCTGGGGTGATGAAAACGTTTGAAGTTAGAGAGTGGAGATGGTCGTGCAACTTCGTGAATGTACTAACCACCACTGAATTGTACACTTTAAAAGGGTGAATTTTATGGTATCTCAAATTTTTTGAAAAAGAAATGATTCTTTGCGGAAAAAAAAAAAGTCCTTATATTTAGGAAACGAAATCTTCATGCCTCAAACAACTTCTACTTTTAAAACTACACAACAGCTTCAGCTAAAACTGGATCCTTTAAGGCATAGGGCATTTTTTACGTGTCTTTCTATCTCCAGCACCACGCCACATAAAAGTCAGCTGACCTGAATTACTATCACACTGCTCTTCTTTCCTTATGGTCCTACACCTAGTCTCGATCCCCAAATTACAGGTTATTTGCTTTTGGCCAGAACTCACATAATCAAGAAACTCCATCACAAACAAATTCAATCAAAGCAAAGATAACAGAAACAAGCGGGACTTCTTATATTCTGCAGCCTTAATTCATAAAATCGACCATATCCCTGCCTTACACAGTCACATACACAAAAGAGGTGCTGGGGACACACAGACAGATGGGACACAATTCTTTCCAGAGGCTCAAACTCTAGGCATCGCAGAGGCAACCTGCATAAAATGCAGCTGTTATAACAGGTACAGAAAGCAACAAAAAGGCGACATACATCAATTCTATCTGAGTGCATTTTTCTTTATTAGATAGATCGGCCTTGTTATATTTTTTACTTTGACTATTAAAAAAATCTGAATGGTTGGGGCTGGCCCCGTGGCCGAGTGGTTGAGTTTGTGTGCTCTGCTGCAGGCGGCCCAGTGTTTCGTTGGTTCGGGTCCTGGGCGCGGATATGGCACTGCTCATCGGGCCACGCTGGGGTGGCGTCCCACATGCCACAACTAGAAGGACCCACAACGAAGAATATACAACAATGTACCGGGGGGCTTTGGGGAGAAAGAGGAAAAAATAAAATCTTTAAAAAAAAAAAAAAAAAAATCTGAATGGTTGGAGAAAGTTCACAAAGGTCAGAACTGGTATTTTAAAATCTCTGAGAAAACAAAACCTTATAAACAGCTAAAGTATTGTTGGAGGTAATGCCCAATTACAAAGTAATTCACAGCCGGACGGCACCTTTAGAAAAAAGGCGTGCTGTGTTGTAGAGGAAGAACCCGAGGCCAGGAAAGAGATCTTAACAGTGAGAGCTGGTGCTCAAAGCCAGTGTTTACCCACACCAGAATCAACGTCTACACCACACACGGGCTGAGACAGCTGCCGGCTGATGAAATCTCCCAGAGGATGAAAAGCCCAGAATGTACTTACCGATTTTTTCTTTCTGATGTATAAAATATGAATATCTTCGCTTCGATATTCCTCATCATGTTTTTCCAAAGGAATTTTTTCAAAGTCAAAGTCCAGTTGAAGGAGCTATAAATTTAAAAGAGATATACTTCAAGTTCAATCGCAGAAGCTATCCTGAGGGACAGTCAGAAGGGTGATTGCCTCTGGCGGAGCACTGACGGGGAAGGGGCATGTGGAGCCTCTCAGGTCCTACAGACAGAAAACGTTCCCTATCTTTATGTCAGGCAGTGGTTGCTGGGTGTACACATATGGACAACTGAGCCCACCACTTGATATACGTGCATTTTACATGTTTTAACTCAACTGAAACTGTATAACACAACATTTTCAACTATACAGTTTCAAAAGTTAAGATTCTTCATATTCAAGAAAAACACGAAAATAAAAAACCATTTTAGCATATACCTAAGAGAGTCTTATAATTACTTTCTCATTTAACAAAAGCAGTCCTTTCAGTGGATAAAACTGCAGGGCTGTAGAGACGTACCCTCAGGGAGTCACTTGTAACGTGACAGATTTTTGCCCATAAAAAGGGTCTGGGGGACCACTGGGGGCAGATGGGTGAAAGGTACATGGGGCTCTATGTACTACTTTTGCAACTTCCTTTGAGTCTTTATTTCAAAAGAAAAAGAAAAAGAAAAACCCCTGAAAATAAATAGAATATCTTGGTCAAAGCTTTTATAAAGATGTAGAGGAAAACACAGAAGTAAACCATACCACATTATCATGTTTCTATGATATATTCTCCAAAAGTAATACATACATCACTATTATGTTCCCAAAGGCCAGCATCATGTTTAATAAAGAAACACTGGACACTTTCTCAGAAGAGACAAGGTGTCAGCATTATTATTTTACATTGTTCTGCACATACCAGATCAATTAACGAGAAAAGAAAAATAAATAGATGATGAGAAAAGATGAAGGGCAGGCTGTGAAGGAGCCTCTCCTTGGGGTCACAGGAGAGGGTTTCCCACTCAGAATGACCGCAGTGCACTTGCACACATCACAGAGCCCTCCTGAAGCATGGGCACTGCAAGGACAGACCGAGTGCAGAACTCACCTCAAAATATTTTCTCTCGATTTCCGGATTTTTTCCCATCGTTCTTTGTTCATAACAACATATAATACAAGTCTCAGATCCACTGAGATCTTTTAGAGTTTTCAACAATGGCTCCAAAGACTGTTGAAAAAGGAATACGGTTTTTGGGTTTTTTTTGCTTTAAAGATTTTACTTTTCCTTTTTCTCCCCAAAGCCCCCCGGTACATAGTTGTATTTTTCAGTTGTGGGTCCTTCTAGTTGTGGCATGTAGGATGCTGCCTCAGCATGGCCTGATGAGTGGTGCCACGTCCGCGTCCAGGATCCAAACTGGCAAAACCCTGGGCCACCAAAGTGGAGTGCGCGAACTTAACGGTTTTTGTTTATGACTTTAAAAATTTTATATTTTTACTATAAAAAGGGGTAGGGGAGGTGGTGGGGGTAATTATAACTCCCCTACAATTTATCCATCTTTGAATCATCCAACAAAGTACATGCAGTCAAAGCTCTCTAACTAATGATTGGTAAACTCCTCTTAACTAATCAACCATTGTATTGATTTCAGTTTCCAAAGAAAGGATTCAAGTGAATGCATTTTGGAGTTCCCATGGGAAAACAAATGGAATTGACTTCACTCTTAAAAATTTAACTTTATTTAATCTAATTTAATTTGGGATTTAAACAATCAACAATTTACCTACAAGACACGTCTGATCCTAAGGAACATAAGCTGGCTCAAAGCTCATTATTTAGAAAATGGGTGATGTCCACAACGCTATACAAACTGCCGTTTAAAGAAATCATTCTGAGTCTAATAGATCTTGCTATAGAATAATGAATTCTTTACAATGCAATTTAATTCTCAATGTCACAGTTAACATATTCACTAGGAATAGCTAAGTAAAAAAAAAAAGTAGAAATCTTAGCTTTTCATAATAGATCCAGATGGCCAAATCCTTTTTTTTTACAGACGCCTCCAGTAAAAAGCACATGGCACTTTTCTCAACATGCTTCACAGGCCTGCATGTTAATCACGATTAACGTGTGGTCCCTGGGACCTTTACTCTCTCTTTACTGTGTTACCAACTATAGGACAAATACCTCGCGTTCAGAAACGTTGAAATGTGAAGAGATGTGTGCTTCAGAATCCAGGAAACGCGGCAGGTCTTAAGGAAGAGACTGCACTGAGTACTCACCTCCTCGTAGTATATGCAGTCGGCCATCAGTATGTAGTCCGGAGGAGAAGGAAAGTCTTCTGTTTCTTCCCCCCTTAAAAACGTCAACCAAATATTTTACGTGTTGCTTTAATAATGTAAAAGATTCTTGTTTTGTACACAACACCCGGAACGTCTCCTTCGTATTAAGCACGCTGCAGTGAAACGCAATTTAAAGCGGCCTACAAGGGCTATCCGGAAACAAGCGGAAAGGCCATACAAACCATTTCAGTACCTTGGCTTGAACAGAACCGGTGACGAGATGCTTGTTCATGTTAATGTTCCTCTTCAGCAAGTCTTGCAACTCCTCCAGATCGGTGACTACGACGTCCGCCCTGTAAGACGACGCGGTCGGCGGGGAGGCGGGCCCCGGGGTCGCCCGCCCCGGAGTCTTCCGGCCTCGGGGGTCTCCCGCCCCTGGGGTCGCCCCGCCCCGGGGGTCTCCCGCCCCGCGGCTTACCCGAGTGTGGCGGCCATGAGCCCCACGGCCCCCGTGCCCGAGCCCAGCTCCAGCACCGACCGCCGGCTCAGCGCGTGGGCGCCCTCGCCGGAGAACCCGGGCGTCTCCAGGTATTTACAGAGGACGATGGCGGCGTCCCACACCACGCAGCCCACGCCGCCGGAGCCGTACTGCTGGAGGCGCAACTCCGTGCCATCTCGCTTCTCCAGCACCCGCACGAAGTTCTGCAGCAGATCCTCTACCGGGGCCTCCCGGGCGGCCGCCATCCCGCCGGCCCAGCACGCGGCGCGCGCAGTGACGTCATCACCGCGCCCCGCCCGCGGCCCGGCGCTTCCAGGAGGCGCGTGCGCAGAGAGTAGCCCGGAAGGCGGCGTCCTGGGCGGGGCCCGCCGCTGGGCGCCTACTCCCCGACTCTCCCCTGTACGAGCGTGGCTTCGCGAAGGGACAGCGCACGTTACTCTTCCGGGCAAAGCTAGTTCTATAGTCTGCTCTTTAAAAAAGAAAGCCAGCCTCGGAGCGTCTCCACCTGGGTGGAGCCCGACTGACGCAGTCGCCATCGGCCCTAAATCCAGGCGGCTTCCCAGACCCCACCGAGGACGGCTGTAACCTGCTCGTTAAGAGTTTTCTGGAGCGCTCCTGATTGCTCATCCGAATGCACAAAAATGGTGGCTGGAGGCTTGCTGATGGCGTTTAAGAGTTAAGACAGAGTTATGCCTCTAAAATGTACATCACTTAAATTCGCGGGATTATGTAATTTAAGTTGCACAAAATATTGAAAATGTGTGTACATATTTCTACAGAACTCAACAATCTTCCCCCCTCGTTACTTATAATGAAAACACATTTTAAAAGTCTTTTAAAAAGTAAGACTGGGGTGGTTTATTAATCTTGTTAAGAACTCTGATACAAAGCACAGTAAAAGGCCACAGACCAGTCAATAAACCACGTGGCTTGTGGCTGTTTCACAACCGCTGCTATGCACTATCAGCAAAACACGCCCTTCTTCACTTGGAAGGAAGGAGTCCAAATGGCAAAGAAAAGTTTTACTCACTTCTCTGATTAAAAAGTTTAATAAAGCTTTAAGTATCTGCTGGTTTAAATATTACCAATCTAAAAAAAATGTTAAAAAAAAATTTTAACACAACATTTACAGAGAAACTTAGTAAGTTTTGAAGGCAAGGCAGTTGGTTCTTATGCCATAAGAAACTTTTCCTCTGAATTTATGAATTAGTAAAGTAGCAGATTGTATTATAGGCCTCAAGTCACTTAAATTTATATAGGTTACTAGGATTATCTTTAAATATACAATATAAACAAAACTGTACATACACGCGGCATATTAACTTTGTTTTCCAAAACAATAGGCAACTCATTAGCTAAAGACACCATAGTCTGCAAAAACAAAAGGCACATCTGAGTAAGATACATGCCCTTTCTTCCTCTATGATTGGGTTAGGTAGTCTTTGTTTACATTTTGACAAAATAATAAACACAGTGCATTCTATTATTTTCATTCTATGTTTCATTTTTGTCTTCAGCAGCAAATTCTGGCATTTAAGACATGGCATTAAAGAGTTTAAGAACAGTGGGTGTTATTTACAATTGTCCTAGATGTAAAAACTAGAAGAATTAGAAGATGGTCAAAGAAGTTTAAAAATTAGTAACACCATACACCCCCTATATCTGTGTAAATTCACTGCCTTAAAAAGGCAGCTATTACTCAAATTTGAAAAATTCCACAAATGCACTATCCCCTTTCAGTGCAATCAATGTCACCTTAAACCGTATGTTAGCAGAGTCTACAGTGCAAATAGAAATTCTTTATACTGGCCTTTTGGCAGCACTGAGGATCCAAGACAAGGCAATGCTACTGATCACCTGAGGATAATGGTAAAGGACTTTTGTATTTTTATTTTTCCAATTTTTAAAAGCTTATTTGATCAGTAGCATTTTTGTAAGAGCATTATTTGTAAAAAGTACTAAAATACTATACCTTTTTTTGAATAAATTAAAAAAAAACTTTACAAATACCATTCCAGTGTCAATGACTACATATGGCTAAGGTCATTGAGGAGTTTCCGCGTTTTCTAGCAAAGACAGTCTGTACATTGGGGGGTGCGAAAGCTCCCGTTTGTAAGTCTTTGGTGGCAGTTTTGGTAGGTGAGGGCTTGAATTCTGCCTTGGTGGAACAGGGGGAGCTTGAGGATAAGTGAGATTACTGTGACTAGAACTGAGCACACAGCATCGACGTGGCACCCGTGGAGACGGTGTGCTGGGAGGAGTGTTGGGCGAATCTGGTCGTGTGCTAACGTCTCTGAACCAGTCTGGATCTCTGTGAAGATGTCCCAGGGGAGGTGGCTGAAGATTAAACGGACAGTTTATAAAGTGTTCTGGAGGCCGAAGGGGAACCGGTGGAGGCGTGTCAGGAAGAGGCTCTCTGGGCGGCGGTGGAGGTGGGCTGTGCAGAGACCCCTCAAATGCACCAGAAGGAGCGGGAACTCTGGGTTTCACCTTTGGAGGAGGAGGTTGTCTTGGTGGAATAGCAGGAGGGTCATCATCAGATTTCATATTTCCCTCAAAAAAAAAAAGTAATTAAATTATACCTCTATTCTTCCTGAAAAGTCTGTAAGAAAAAGTTTTTAAAAGACTGAAAATTCTTAGGTGCCAAGTTAAATCCAGAGGCTTAAAACAGGTTAATCTGGTTTAATGATCAGATTTATGAGTAAATTATTCTCAGTTTAATTCCGGGCCCACTTCAATATTTTTATATATGAGATGTTTTAATTGAAATCTTAGAACATAACGCCTCAGATTATCTTACTTCGGATGTACATTTCATAAACTTATGCATTTTAAATATAATAATAGGCAAGCGAGTGAAAAGAAGACACAGCTTTGCAGACGTGAAAGGACAGGATGTGAAGAGGACTCATGCTGGCTTCTGCTTTCCAGCCATTTACTTCTAGCTTCTCCAGTGAGGCTTAGGGTAGTGCTTCTCCAGGTGGGATCCAGGGACCAGCAGCATGAGCAGGAAACTTGTTAGAATGCAAATTCTTGGGCCCCACCCCAGACCTACTGAATCAGAAACGCTGGCAATCTGGTTTTAACAGCCTTCCAGGTGATTCTGATGCAGCATAAAAGTTTGAAGAATGCTTTGAATACTAAAGTTCTTTCCACCTTTACCAGAAAGAAAATGTACTTCTTCTGAGTTATCTGTGAATCTGCCTAGCCTCTTTAGAAAAAGCGTTATGAGGATTAAACAATTATTTAAAACATTTTTCAAATAAAACAACACAAATATTTAAAAACCATATTTATAAGAACAAGCACTATTCTGAAGATTCACAACTCTGAACAAGTTGAGGCAAACCTAAGTCCCGTTGACTACCTTGGGATTCGAAGCATCGTGATCAAACTTCTTCCGAGGAGGAAGCGGAGGAGGAATCAGGGGCTCGTCACTTAGTTTATGTAAACTACCGCATGAACTGAAGAAGGACTCTGGAGGTAAAGAAGATGAGTTAATCACAATTCACAGTGCAGTCATAAGACAAAACAATTTCAATCTGCTGTAGACTCTGTCAGACTTGGTTTATCTATCCTCTCCATTCAACCGTAAGCCCTCTGAGAGAAGTGTGTATTTGTTTTGTATCCCTAGCACGTAGCACAGTGGTTGTGCCTGGCACATGGTAGGTACTTTAGCTAAAGGAAGACATACTATTTAATTAAGATTAATAATGAGATTCTGCTCCCTGAAAAGCCTTTTTTTCTAATGTAAAACAAACAAAACAGACATATTTGTATAAACTGTAATAACTCCCAGAGAAAGATCTTCCATAAACAGAGACCATGCATCTTGCCAGCAGCTAGTACTGGGTACACTTGTATGCAGGTAATAAAAACTCCATCAAGGAGACCAGACGGTAGGGCTGCGTTACATGACTCTTCCTCTTTGCAAGTCTCTCATTGATAACGGACGTGTTATATAACCACATTAATGGAAATTTACAAAATAATAGGGTACTAGGGGAAAAATTATCCCTAAACATGCTAACGAGACACAGAATAAGAAACTATTTTCATTTATTTCATTTTTCATATGATTAAAAATACCTGTAATTATGGACCAACTCCCTATTTGATCTCTCTCCATACACAGTTATCATAAAGGCAGTGGCCATATCTTGTTTATCATTATACTGAGACTGGGTTCACAGGAGCTAGTTGGGAAAGAAGTTGATGAGTTTAATTTTAAACACACTGAGTGTGAACTGCTTCTGGGACATCCAAGTAAAGATGTCAAACTCATTACTCCATGTCAAAAATTGCTGTCCTGCTCATGACTGCAGTCACCTCAGGGGGTCTTGTTGGCTCAAGGTGCTAATAGCTGAAACAAACAGTATGCCCCTGGGTGCTAGCAGATGGTGTGGGGAGGCTGGAAAGAGCACTCCCGGCTGTGGATGTGTGCCTGTTGCCTGTCCAGCATCCTCGGCCCTGCCTTCGGGAGAACTCCTCTTGGTGATGGTGAATCCATCCCATGTGGTTTAGTCGGCCACGTCTTCCCAGCGCACCCCAATTCCAGTCAAGAAGTGGGCATGGCACTCAGTTTCTCACCTCACCATGATCAGATTTTCAGCAGCCTCTCTTTCGCGCACACAACCAAGTGCTTCACTGACAGCTGACCTTACTCCTGAGCTCCAGAGACAAGGCCTGATTAGACCAATCCGAGTAATGCCACTCCTGCAGCCAGAGGGACTGGCTTAGCCGTGGCACACGACCCAATCCAGACTAGTGAAATTTCAAAGGGGGTTTGTTAGGGGCTACTGAAAAGGAAGTTCCCTGTTCTTCTGGAAAAGCCCTGTGAGTCTGTCTCTGTACCTCTCTCTCCTCCTCACCTGACTGAACAAAGACGCACACACTTTATGGCTCCTGCCACCACTCACAACCACGAGGGCAAACAGTCTCAGATAAAGCCGACAATCTGGGCAAAACAAGGAAGAGTCAAAAAGAAACCTGGTCTTTAGTAACACCACTGAGCCACTGAATAAACCATTCTTAAGGCAGCTTGTCTCTACTTCCAATCATGTGAGTCCGAATGCTTTCTTATGGCTTAAGTCACACTCCGCTAGGTCTTCTGTTCCTCACAGAAGCAAACACACTCCTGGAGGCAGAAAATACCTGAATGATGCTGGGACAGCTGTGAGAGTTTCCGTGTCTTACTCCACAATCACACCACTTAACCACTGTGTCATGCTTCTCCCAGCAAGCACTCAATAACCCTTGCTGAAGCATGAATACCATTTTATTTTCTATCAAGAGCATTTCTCTACAAGATTACAGTTTTTGCGAGCATTTTAAATAACTTCAGTATTCCACACTAGTGACTGTAGGATCATTTACTAAACGATTTCTATAATGTTAGGAGAGAAGAAAATTAGAGGATCAATTCAGGATGTACAGCATGGGAAAGAAGCTCCAAGAAGGGAGTCAGAGAACACTGTGTGGAAGAAATTATTAATACATGATACAAGGAACATCTTCTAGAAATCAAAGACATCAATCTCTAAATTTAAAGGCTCATTAAGTACATGCAAAATGAAAGAAACGAAGGCCCACATCAAAGCGGGTCATCGTTAATGTGCAGACCATTAGGAAGAGAGATCTTAAACGTGTCTTGAATATATTGTGGCAGAGACTACTAACTGTCCCCCAGTGTACCCTTCCCTTTGCTCCTTTTACTA